TCTTTGCAAAATTTCGCAAACTCTGCACTACTAAACGCTGGTCCACCGTCGGACACGATTGATTTAGCCACTCCAAACTTTGCCCACAAATTCTTCAATTTTCTGACCACTACTTGCGTTGTCAACCCTCTTACAACCTCAAACTCCACCCATTTAGAAAATGCATCAACCACTAGAAAATAATCCTTTTTTTCGTACTCGAAGAAATCGACATGAACCCTCTCCCATGGCTCCGTTGTTTTCGGCCAAGTCCCTTCTCTATCTCTTGCTGGCATCCTGGCCCAAGTATTGCATACTACACATTGTCTTGCTAGTTCCTCAATCTCCACATTCATCCTCGGCCACCATACATATTCTCGTCCCCATTGTTTCATACGCTCCATTCCCTGATGACCTGCATGCAACATTGTTAAAACCATTCCTCTCAACTTCCCAGGTATCACTGCCCTATTTCCCCGGACTACACATTCGTCCATCACCGTCAATTCTCCTCCAACATTTTTATAAGCTCTATCTCCTTCTTTCCACGGCTTCCGGCCCATTATACATTCTTTTATTCGACTCAAATCCCTATCTTTTTGCGTCTCTTTCCGAATCTCCTCCCACGTTACCGGACCTCCCTTCAACATTCTCGATACCACCATGACCATCGCTACCTCCTTCTTACACATCTCCTCCGTACTACCTTCTTCCACATCCTCCCCTGCTCCGCATCTCGACATTATGTCCGGCAAATAATTTTCTCGGCCTCTACGATATCTCATCTCCATGTCAAAACTACCCACCATCAATAACCACCTCTGCAACCTCGGCGACATCATCAACTCCTTGTTATCCTTCCGGAATAAATGAATCAACGGCTTATGATCCGTATAGACTACAAAACGACGCCCAATCAAATACTCCCGACACTTTGTCAATCCGAAAATTACAGCTAATGCCTCTTGCTCAATTACCGAATATCTCGTCTCCGCGGCCCTAAAAATTCTAGAAAAAAATAACACCGGTCTCTCCAGCTCTTCTATACGATGCAATAACGCTCCTCCTACTCCCCTTTGAGACGCATCTACCGCCAATATCACCTCCAGTTCATTATTAAAACACACTAAGACGGGCTCTTTTCCAATCCGGCACTTCAACTCCTCAAACGCCTCCTCCTGTTCATCTCCCCAATCAAATCTCTCTCCCTTTTTCAACAACTGGTACAAAGGTGCCGCTATCTCCGCAAAATTCTCTACAAACCTGTGATAATAGTTAACCATTCCCAGAAAAGACTGTATTTCCGACTTGCATTTCGGCCTCAACATGTTTGCAATACCCACCATATTCTTATCCAACGGTCTAACCTCTACTCCCTTAATCCGATGACCCAAATAAACAACCTCCATCACTCCAAACACGCTTTTCTCTCTACTAGCACGCAATCCCTTCTCCTTGATTCTCCAAAATACCTCCTCTAGCCTCCTATTATGCTCCTCCTGCGTAATACCTGTTATCAAGACATCGTCCATATAATAAAATACTCCCTCCAAACCCTGAAAAACGGCCGCCATTGTCCTCTGAAATATGGGTGCCGAAACACTCAACCCAAACGGCAATCTCTTAAACGCAAATAGTCCCTTGGGCGTAGTTATGGTCAGCAACTTCTGCATCTCCTTCCTTACCTTCAACTGCAAATACGCATTAGAAAAATCCACCTTCGAAAAATATAAACTCCCCTTCAAATTCGCCAATATCTCCTCTATCCTCGGTAACGGATATTTTACTTCCACTACCCACGGATTCAATGTTACTCGGAAATCTGCACATAATCTCAACTTCCCATTAGCCTTTTTCACCGGTACTAAAGGTGTCGCCCACTCGCTATATTCGACCGGACATACAATATCTTCCTTTACCCATCTATCCAACTCTTGCTCTACCTCTCGCCTCCATTCAAAAGGTACACGACGTACAGCACAATACTTCGGCACACTTCCCTCCTTCATCCGAATCTCCACCTCATAACCCTTCAAACAACCCAACTCTTCCTCAAATATTTCTCCATACCTCTCCACTAACTTCTCCACCTCCTTTTGGACATCCTTTATTCCCTCTCCACACCCCCACAAATTTCTCGCAACTCCTTGTTCTACAAAATTCTCTCCCTTCTTCTCACTAACCAGCGGCCTCAATACTCCATATCTACTGTCTTGGACATTTCCTATTTCTCCATCTACATAAATCGGACCTCTTCCCAACATATATTCTCTCGCATTCTCTTCGCTTTCCCCCCAAAACATGGATCTTCCATCGTCTACTTCAATATTATCTCGGCCCTCCATCCATTCCAAATTTCTTCTCGACATTCTCTCCTCCTCATTCACTCGGACCATATTTATCAAGTCTTCCCGAATATCTTCTTCGATCGCCACAAAGACTCCCCATCGCGCAAATACTCCCCAAAATCCATACTTCGGCCCTACATTTGTAATCCAATCCCATCCCATCACCGGCTCAACGTCTCGGTTAATTATCCATAAGTCCAACATTTTACATCCTTCTCTTCCTACCTCCCCAATATGCACTCTTCCCATCATCTCCATCTCCGATCCATCAAACTGCCTCACTTGCATAACGTCTCTAATTATATTACTACCCGGCCAAAGTCTTCTAAAATCCTCATATCCCATCACCGAAATAGCTGCTCCGGTATCAAATAACATAGATACCATCTTCCCGTTGATATCGAACCATACCCTTGGACTCGGCAGATACATTAACTCCCTTTGAACCTCCTGCTGCAACATTTTAACTCTCAACTCTTTCTTGCCTCCTCCTAACGCCACGGTCATTATTTTACTCTCCTTCCCATCATATAGTCAATCTTTATTACAATCTCTGGCCCAATGTCCCCTTTCTCGGCACTTGAAACACGTCATCTCCTCTCCAATATCCTTTCCTTCTTTTCCAGCTATCTCCGTCATACTCCTCATATTCACGACCCCCGACGACTCTCCTCTCTGTGGAAAACCTGCCCTTGTTTCCACCTTTCCCACTCGGCAATCCTTTAACACATGTCCAAATCTTCCACAACCCGTGCAACGTATTCTCTCTGCTCTGCCCAGACAATATGTCGAAATATGTCCCATCTCCCCACACGCAAAACATTTGACATCTCTACAATTCACCGCAATATGACCCATCTCCCCACATTTATAACATCTACCATTCCGACCTCTCTGTCCCCCACTGTTGAATGGCCTTGGCATATCTTGACGTCCACGGTATACATCCAAATGTCTGTCATCTATCCTCTCGTTCTTTAACCGGTCAATTTCTTCATTATTGACCCAACCCTTCATTATTTCTTGAACCGGTAACCACGTCACTCTCCCCAATCTATCATCCTCTCCATTATGCCCCTCTACCAACAACGATTGCCCACGAATCCTAATACTCCTTTCTCTTCGCATTCTCCTTCCAAAATATAAACTACACAACCATATCATCAACACTACCACCGCTCCCAATACATTATATTGCAACTCCACATATTTTGTAATTTTAAAACCCTTCATTAAAATATTTACGTATTTAAATTTTTCCTAATTTATTTCTCTAACAACACTAAATTATATAAAATATTCACAGAAAATTAATAATTAATTTCACCAAAAATATCTTAACTACTTGTAATGTCAGACAATAAGATAAAATCAATAAGGTAAAAACTCCAATAATACACATATACATTTATCAATTTCAAAAAAAAATATCAATACCTTCCGCTAATCTTTAATCTCTTACGTGTATTGACGTCTTTTGAAAAAAAAATCGGCAGCACTTTCGTGTAACTTGCTTTCTAATAAACTTTTTTGGAATTTCTTCTAATAGATTTATATAGACAAAAATTTGGGCAGCACTTCCGTGTACTCTACTTTTTTAGTAAATTTTCGATTTTCGTCTAATAGATTTATATAACCAAAAATTTGGGCAGCACTTCCGTGTACTCTACTTTTTTAGTAAATTTTCGATTTTCGTCTAATAGATTTATATCGGCAAAAATTTGGGCAGCACTTCCGTGTACTTTACGTCTTTTGAAAATTTTCACTCGACGGTCACCTCTTTTGACGGTACTTGTTCTTGACGGTCTTTCAACCCAAACGGTCCCTTATTACACACGGTACTTGTCCTTGACGGTTCTTGTTCTTGACGGTACTTGCTCTTGACGGTACTTGCTCTTGACGGTACTGCTCTTGACGGTACTTGTTCTTGACGGTACTTGCTCTTGACGGTACTTGCTCTTGACGGTACTTGTTCTTGACGGTACTTGCTCTTGACGGTCGATATATTAATTTCAAAATATATTTGTTTATTACTTATTATGTAAATAGATTAATGTTATTACTTATTATATAAATAAGTGATTTATCAATAAAAATATTTTATATACTTTTAGAATTGCAATTGAATTGAATATAAACTATAACTGATGATTACAATATATTTAAATGACATATGTTATGGTATAGTAAAATTATAGATGTTATACTAATAAAAAGTATAGTAAAAATTAAAACCATTGGTATCTTTAGAGAATACAAAATTATATATGATATCGGATCGGTAATCGGCCGTTATCAATTTAATATCGGAAATATCGGATCGGATCGACCTCCCAAAAGTGGTATTGGTACACCCCTAGTTCATCTGATCCCTTAATATATGTATATAAATCACTTGCACTTTTATTAGAACTGTTAATTAAATTTTAAAATGGGTACTTGTTCCTAAAAATTTTAGATGTTTTAGGTTTTTGCCTCCAAACTTTAAATGTAACCAAAAATAAATTAATTTAATTAAGGCTCCTCTTTGGGAATTTATGTAAATTTAAATGTTATATTTAATTATCAAATTTAGAAATTATTTTATACCAATACCATGTAATTATTATAGTGATTTTTTTCAATGTATATCAAAAAATATTTACCATTAGACACAAACTTAATAAATCCAGTATATATTTTATAAAAAAAGTTTACATATTTAATAAAATTCAATCAACATTAGCCTCACAATATGGTATGTTTACATCATATTATATATTCATAAATAGAGTATATATTTATTTACAAAAATATGAAATAAAGTAAATCGAATTGTATTCTCAGGACGTTCTTCAGGGATCTTCTTCATTACTTGTGCTCTGCGAGGAATCATTAGAAGAAGAAAGGGTATCTTTTATAACACCTTCATTTTTGTTTTTATCTTGATCCTTATATTTGGAAAGAGATTGCAAAGCTTTTATTCTTAGAGCCTTTTCATTCACTGTTTCATTTATATCATTAATATTATCTTTTTTTTTGCCCTATAATAATAATATATTTATATAAATTTAATATTTAAATAACTTTGGGTTTGTCAATTTCAACTTCATATTTGGAACTTGGGGATTGTCTTTGTTTTATTTGGTCACTTTTGTTATGTTGTTTATCATGCTTCCTTCTTAATATTATTTATATAATATAAGTTATTAGAAAAGAAGCTTAAATCTATCCTCAAGTCAAGAGTAATTATTATCTTACTTATAATTATCAACTGAGTTATAGCTATTAATGAAAAATCAACTGGCATCTTAAAATGAAAGGCAGTAAAAAAAATAAATGTAAGTAAAAAATAAGATGAGGTACGAATGGTGATGCTTGTGATGATGATGATGGCGACGCTTGTGTGGTCTATTGCGATGCCGAGAAGATGAGGAAGTACTGGCAGAAGATGAAGTTGTACGACGAGAGGAGCCAGAAGAGGAGGAAGATGATGACGAGTCACGTTTTTTGGAACGTTTTTCATGCAAATTTCTATGATGCTGCTGCTGCCCATGATGTCCACCATAATGTTGATGTTTTCCATCAAGTTGCTCCAATTCTTTTCTTTTTGAAGAATCCTGGCCTGTCCAACTTGTAATAGACAATTTAAAATATAATAATTTTTGTTATTGAAAAACTGATTAATATTTTTAATATAATCTCTTTATGATTAAATATGAAGGTTTCATTTTAATATTATTCTATTAAAACTTATTTTACACTAGAATTTAAATTAGACCTTAAAATTTATGTAAAATATATAAATAAGAGGAAATATGAATTATTGTTTTTTAAATTGTAATTAATACATATCTGAAATATTACATTGTCATAACAAAATATAGCTTGCATATTTGTAATGATTTTCCAAAATGTATATAAATTGTATAATTTTGATATACAGGAGTTATCAAGATGATTCTTAGAAGTTAGTAAAATAAATTTGTGGGGTTTAGTATGCCTGTCCTCACTGCAAGTGAATGTGGGTGTCACAAATTTAAACATCACGTCGGTGAGCAGGCTGGTTAAAAATATTTATAAAACAATAGGCAGGTGAATTTAAAATATATTTCGGAAAAAATGAGCAGAACGGGTCTATATTTATTTCTTAAATTAAAGGTGGAAAAAAGCATTTGATAAAACAAAGAATCAAACCAACCAATAAAATAGTAAACATTGGGCTGACAGATTGAACTCAATTTAGATAAATGGATGGGGAGGTGAGTGAATTTTTAAAAAAAATTATGGGTAGTCAGGAAAGCAAATTAAAAAATTTTTTTGATGGGTAGGTGTTTGGGTTAAATAACCTATTACAAACCTCAAATAACAGGTTATTTTGGAAAAATGTAGTAGGAATTAGATACTTTTATAAGTCATTTTAGCAACACATATAATAAATAAATAATTCAAGCTTTGGTAAAGCTTGGATTAGTGGTGACTCTAATGTTAATAGATCAAAATTATTTATACTTATTAGAAACTTGGTCAGGATTCATTTTTAATGAAAGGTCCCTTTCTGCTGTTGCTTTGGCATCTTCTTCCTTTATTCAAAAATAAATTTAAAAAAAAAATATTCATGATATATTTTAAAAAATTTTGTTGAAATAAAATTTGATTAATTACGTACAATCACTAATAGCCGCTGAAATGTAATAACTAGTTTCCACATGAAATCGCTAAGATCAAAATAGCCAAATATTTTTTATAAGTCACCACAAGTAAGATAATATAATACTGATATAATACAATACTAATAAAATATCCTATTGAAACGAGGATGAAAATATATCAAAAAATTATTGATATATAATATTTAGAAAATCTAAAATTTCCATAAGCAATTGACCCCATTTATAACTATTAAGAGTCATATTGACAGATTTTTGAAAAAATATAGGCCTTCCATGCCGCATTCAATTGATGATATCATTTTAACCCCAGCATATAAAACAACATCGAGATTACTTATCCCTACTGAAACTAATAGGATATTGGTCTTTGGGACTACTGATATGCTCAAATTGATGGTATCTGCTTCAACAATATATACGGACGGAGCTTTCTACATAGTTTATAAATCATGTTGTCAGCTCTATACATTGCACATCATGTATAAAAATGTCAGATCCTGGTTATATATGCTCTTCTTCCAGATAAATTAAGGGAGACATATATTCAGCTATTTCTGATTATCATAAAGTTTTGTACCTTAAATAGTATAAATTTCAATCCGACAATGGGACAAACAGAGTTTGAGATGGCAGCTATATCTACTCTTAGATTTGTATTTCCAAATATGGTGATCAAAGGTTAATTTATAATTAATGTATATTTCATTAAAATATTAAGGGCTTTTCCTTCATTATTTTTAAGCTTCGTGGAGGAAATATCAAGCTTTGGTTTAGTCAGAGACTACCTGAACGATTCCCATGTTCATTTAGTTGTTAGGTGGATTACAACTTTATCATTTTGCAAGGATAAACGTTTGGCTGAAGTTCGTTTATCTTGCTACTCAATGGCAACTCACAATCCATACCGACTTCGTTTTAATGGAGAATATGAAACATACGTGGTTTGGTGAAACTGCATTATTTCCACATCATATGGACTAGGTATAAAAACTTGAAATAATTATATTGAATCATTTTTAATATTTTTCAATATTTAATTAAGGTATCATGTAGATGGGCCACACATTAACAACCATCTCAAGGGGTTCCATGATGCTCTAAAATAAAAAACAAACTGTGCACATCCTAATGTGTATGTCCCAATCAAAATTTGAAGTTAAGTTTATACTAATTCATAATGGATTGATTGTTCAGCAAGCAAATCAGACTTATAAAAGATTAAATCATAAAATAGACAATTTAATGTCTATGTACGTTAGACCAACTTATATTTGTTTCCATTTTTAGAATTTTTTTTAGTTAATTATCAATAATTTAATAAATATTTTCGTTATTCTAATTAAATTATAACAATAATATATGTAAATAATATTAAATAATATTGTCTTTTTTAGTATATTTATTTATTTGAATAATATAATAAATATATTGCTACCTTTTTATATTTTTACAATAATATATGTAAATATTATATTGTACATTTTTACTTTTGTTTTTTTAGTATATTTATTTATTTGGATAATATAATAAATATTACTAATTATTTATATTTTTCTAAATTGTATATTAAAATGTAATTAAAATGAAATTTCAAAATATTCTGAAAAGGTTCAACAAAATAAATATTAAGATTTTCCCTAATAAGATAAGTGACTAAAATACCCTTATTAATCATTAGAAACCTTAAAAAATATTATTTATTTAGATATTTATTCAAGTAATAAGTAAAAATAATTATGATAAAAAATATATTCAGAAAGTTTCTAGTAGGCAAAGTGACTAACATAACATGTCCTAATTAATCATTAATAACCTGCAAAAATAATAAAATATTATGAAATCAGATATTTATAGGAGTAATAAGATATAATAATTACAATAAAAAATTAATTCAGTCCCTTGTAAGATAAGTCATATCCTTAGTTGAGCACATCAACTAACCAAGTTGATTGACTGTGCCAAATTCATAGACAATAAAGGTCCTCATTCGCTACATTGCAAATATTCTTGAAAAGGCCCAATTAAAAAAAGTTCTAATTATAATTGTATTTTATTTTTATATATTTTATATTATTATTATATATCACTATATTATATTAGGATTTTATTATATTATAATATTACATTGTATTAAATTATATTAGAATTATATTATATTAATATTATATATTTTTATTAATATTATATATTTCATATTATATTATTATTATATATTATAATAATACATTATATATTTTAAAAATTATATTATATTAGAATATATTAGTCATGGATTATATCAGTATTATATTATATTCTTTTTATTACATTATATTAGTATTATATTATATCACTCTCCCAAAATCCTACCTTCAGCCTCATCGTGGCGGGGGAGTGGCAACGTCTTTTGGCGGCAAATGGAGGTCTAAAAGGTTCCCTGTGATCTGGGTCTAGAATAGGATCACCGTCTCCTCGACGGGGTGTAAAAACCACTTAAAGAGGTTGATGTCAGGAAGGGCATCCGATTGTAAAAACCTTGCTACAAAAATTTCCCTATAGTTACAACAAAGCATGGGCGGGGTATAGCCCAAAGTACCCCGTGGGCCTCCTCATCCGCCTACGACAAAAAGAAGGATGGGAAACTTGGTGGAACCACTATTCATGAAAATGAAACCTATGACGGCCATAAACGACCTGATAAAAAGTGGAGAAACCAGTTTACGGGTGATCGAGTTAGGGTCGTGACATGGAATGTTGGGAGTATGACGGGAAGAGCGGGAGAAGTCGTCGATGTATTGCACAGAAGACATATAGATGTGTGCTGCATACAGGAGACTAGATGGAAAGGAAATGGGACCAGAATGATTGGCAAGACTAGCGAAAAGTATAAATTCTTTTGGCAAGGAGGTAATGATGGTAAGGCTGGAGTTGGGGTATTAATTGCGGAGAAATTGGTAGACAAAGTAGTCAAAGTGAGAAGGCTAGACAACCAGATAATGGTTATCAAGATGATTATTGGTAGAAAGCTATATAATATGATCTCGGCATATGTTCCTCAGGTTGGAAGAAGTGAAAGATGTATTTTGGGACAGTCTATTGGGGGTGACATCGAGACTGGCAAATGAAGAGGGGATTATCCTGGCTGGCGATCTGAATGGACATGTGGGAGCGAGTAGTGAGGGTTATGAAGGAGTACATGGAGGGTTCAGTTACGGCATGAGAAATTTGGAAGGAGAGAGGATTTTAGAATTTAGTGATGCTATGGATATGATTGTTTGTAATACAATGTTTAAGAAAGAATCAGAGAAGCTGGTGACTTATAAGTCGGGTAGTACCAAAAGTGTTGTGGATTACTTGTTATTAAGGAGATGTGATCGATGTATAATAAAAAATGTGAAAGTGATACTGGGAGAGGAATGTATAAATCAGCATCGACTAGTTGTAGGAGATCTCACTCTTAAAGGTGCCAGGGTTACTAAAAGAAAGTTTGTCCCAAGGCTGAAGGTTTGGAAATTGAAGGAGGAGAATGCTAGACGTCAATTCAATATGGCATTGGCGATTAGGGAGGCGGAGGTGGCACAAGCATCTGGGGTGAATGACAAGAGGGAAGCCATGAAGAAAGCTTGGGTAATGACAACTGAGGAGGTATGTGGATGGACAAAAGGGCCGCCTAGACATAAGGAGACTTGATGGTGGAGCCCAGAGGTAGCGAAAGCCGTGGATGAGAAACGGAGGTGTTTCAAAGTATGGTATAATAGCAAAGAAAATAGTGATAATGATATTTACAAGATGGCTAAAAGAAATGCTAAGAAATTAATAGCAAAGGCTCAAGAAGAAAAAAGACACGAGTTTGCTAAAGAAATGAAATGCGCTGATGGAATTGGAAATATGGTTAGAATGGCAAAACAGATGTCAAAAAAGAGGCAGGATGTGATAGGTGTAAAGTGTTTGAAAAATATGGAAGGAAAAATGACGATTGATAGTAGTGGTATTAAGAACACCTGGAAGATTTACATGAAAGAACTTTTGAATGAAGAAAATGAATGGAATAATAATATTAGTTGTGCAAAGGAAGAAGGTCCAGGGTGTAAATTTGGCAAGGACAAGATAAGGAGAGCAGTGAAAAAGATGAAGAAAGGGAAGGCATCGGGTTAAACGATGGTGGTATGAGATGTTTAAAGGTTCTGATGATTTAGGGATTGAATGGTTAATGAATTTAGCAAATCAGATTGTCACAGAAGGTACTATTCCAGAGGACTGGTGAAGAAGTATAATTATCCCAGTATACAAGGGGAAAGGTGATCCTTTAGATTGTGGGTCTTACAGAGCTATTAAACTCTTGGAACATGCAATGAAAGTATTTGAGAGAGTGTTAGAAAAGCGGATAAGGGAACAAATCAAAATTGATGAAATGCAGTTTGGTTTTACATCGGGAAAAGGCACGACAGATGCAATTTTTGTGGTGAGACAAATTCAGGAGAAGTATCTTGCGAAGGAAAAGAAACTCTATTATGCGTTTGTTGATTTGGAGAAAGCATTTGATAGGGTGCCGCGTGAGATTACAAGATGGGCCTTGAGAAAATCCGGTGTGGAGGAATGGTTAGTTACCGCAGTGATGGCAATGTATGTTGGAGCACAAACAGCAGTACAGACGGATTATGGTGATAGTGACAGCTTTGAGGTGAAGGTAGGACTTCATCAAGGATCCGTGCTGAGTCCATTATTATTTATCTTAGTAATGGATGTGGTGGCTAGAGAAATGCGTGAAGGACTTCCCTGGGAGATATTATATGCAGATGACCTTGTATTAATGGCAAACAGTGAGGGAGAATTGAGGGATAAAGTTAGTAAATGGAAGATGACTATGGAAGCAAAGGGCCTGAAAATGAATGCACCAAAAACAAAGGTGATGATTGGTGGGGAAAATCTAAAGATAGAAGAATCAGGTAAGTGGCCTTGTGGTGTATGTGGGAAAGGAGTTGCTAGAAATTCTATCCAATGCACCAGATGCCAGAAATGGGTACATAAAAGATGTAGTGGGAAAAAAGGCAGTTTAATGTTAGAAAGAATGACCTTTATTTGTAAAACATGCATGAAAGGGATACATAATAATGATAACCTAAAAAATGGTGGTCTGGATATTGGCAATGGGTTAACCCTAGAAAAAGTGGATAAGTTTTGTTATTTAGGTGATATGCTAAACGCAGATGGTGGTGTAGATTCTGCTGTTGTTGCAAGGATCAGACAAGCTTGGAAGAAGTTCAGAGAGATGTCGTCTATTCTTACAAATAAAAAAGTTTCTCTGAAGTTAAAGGGGAAAGTTTATGTAAGCTGTGTGAGGAGTTGTTTAGTTTATGGCGGTGAAACATGGGCAATGAAAGCAATTCACGAAGCCAAATTAGAAAGAACAGAGATGAGGATGGTTAGATGGATGTGTGGGGTATCTCTGAGAGAGAGAAAAACTAGCAAGGAATTGTGAGCAAGATTAGGTATAGAAATGATTGGTATGGTAATGCGACGAAATAGACTAAGATGGTTTGGGCATGTGGAACGTATGACAAGAGATGACTGGGTAAAGAGATGCACAATGATAGAAGTAGGAGGATCAAGACCTAGAGGAAGACCCAAGATGACGTGGACAAATGTGATAGCGGCGGATATAAGAAGCTTGAATCTTACAAGTATTGATGCTCAGGACCGTCAAAAATGGAAAAGAAAAATCAGAGGGAAAACTGGCCTACCCGGGTAAACCTGGAAATTGCCATAAAACGGAGAAGAAGAAGAAGTATTATATTATATCAGTATTATATTATATTACTTGTGGTGTTATAAATTATGTATAAAAATACTTGGCTATTTTGATCTAAGATATCATGTGGGAACCATTATTTATTAGTGTTTATAATTGAAAAATTAATAATTATCAGTTATCTTTTTGACAAATTTGTATATAAAACTTACATATTTTTGCATAAGTTCTGCTTTTTTTTGTTGCAAAAATGCCTCAGGAATTCCTCCAATATTGTTTTGTGCACTTATAAGTAGTGACCATAAATCTCCCATAAATATTCGAGCATTTTTTGCATTCAAAAAACCAGTCAAATTTATCTGCATAATTTTTGGATCTACTTTCTAGTTATGATTAATAAGTAAACATTATTATTTCAAATATATAATAAATTTAATTCTGGAATAACAATGATTTAAATTTTATCTACAAGTTCATAAAATATATTATCTACAAATCTTGGGCTTAATTTATAGAAACCATAAAATTAGTGTGCCTATAGGTATATAATAAAACTATGCCTTCATTTAATGATGAATTACCCACCTTTTTAATAACATGAAGTTTACTATAAACAATGCCTTATTCAGATCTTGTTAATTTTAAAAAATCTTTGGTTATATTTGAACAAAATTTTATTCCTTTTTGTGATGTGTATAATTTAGACTCTCCATTAGATATCAATTTATTATCTTAACAAGAGATATAAATAAACTTTTTCCATTAATTGATTGAACACAAATTCGATTATAACATCATCTTCAAAATTTAAAAGTTCGCATAAGCGTTTAGTAATCCACGGCTTTAAAACATCTAAATTGACTTTAGTCATATCAATCTAAAAATTAAATGAAAATTAGTGTTTTCAATATTTCAAAACTTTTTGTTCCAAATTTTCTGAAAATTTCATCTGCTTCATTAATTTCTTATTCTTATCACTAAATCTACTGTCTTGTTCGGCATTTGTGCCCTGATAAAAATATATAAGAGACTAAATAAAATATATACCCTATAAAATCCAGCGTCTGTCATTAGCGTACAAATTTTAAATGGTTGGTAGTGACTGTTTTTTGAAAGGCAGTACTCACTCCTCAGAATAGAAAGACATCAAAACGGCAGTGACTGAAAAAGTACTATTGAAAGAATGACAGTTGTATAAATAAAAAAATGACAGTTGATTTGCTCTTATTAGTTTATATAAAATTACAATATAATAAATTACTTGTATTGTATATACCTTAATATAAAAGCATGGTAATAATTTATTTCAAACAATTATAAGAAATTTATTTATAAAAAATAAGTAGACATATAGTTGATTTTACTATATTATATAAAATTAGTTATACGATACTAGGTAAAATTCCACTTTTACAGACATATTTGACAGTTGGAGAATATATTACAGTTAATAATCTAACAAAATTTACTAATCAATGCTCTTGATATTAAATATAGCAACAATATGCATTCAATTATTTAACGCCATCTATTTTATTTTAGTAAAAATATAAGTTAAATTTAATCTTCATATTATTCATCCCACAATGTCTTTAAAAGATATTTTCTGATGTCCTTATCAATATTTTATAGTTTTCTGTAAAATATATAATTCGCTATATTGGTAAAAATTACTTGATTGTCATTTAACAATTAGATATAGTAAATCGACGACATATAATATTCCACTTTTTATATTGTGCTTTAATATTTTTTTAATTTTATCAATATTTTTATAATTATATTTTACTTTTATTAAGATAAATAAATTAAAATTACTCACTTTATAAAAAATTATATTTGATATATTATATTATTTAGTAATTTTATGGATCTATTATTAATAATTATAATACATTTCACTTCTGTCTTAAGACTTATCTTTGGCTTATTTTCCATTTATTAAAAAACATTTTTGGTTTATTTAATATATTTATAAATTTATTTTCCCAAAAATCTATGATGAATAGTTTTATAAAAAAATATCAACTTTTACATTCTTTCTTTTAAATTATTATTTAAGATATATGCATACATATTTGAGGGTCAGGGAGTGGGGGGAGGACTAAGGGGGATATTTTTTATTAGCTAAAAGTGATATTTACAAAAAGTGATAAATTTCTGAAGGGGGGGGGAATTTCCCTTGCCCCCCCCCTTGGTTACGCCTATGAGCCAGGATTTTCCTAAGGAGGGGGGATTAAAAATTACTGGGTCATAAAATATTTTTACAAGATAGGAGATTAATTTTAATAAAAAAATAAGCCTGGAACAAATATGAAATATATTTTTATTAGTTTATATAAAATATAATAAATTACTTGTATATACATTAATATAAAAACGTTGTAATAATTTATTCCAAAAAGAAATTTATTTTTAAAAAGTAAGTAGACATATAGTTGATATTTCTCTATTATATAGAATTAGTCAGGGGCGTCGCTAGCCTTTACAATCTCAGAGGGCTCAACTAAAAAAAATTTTTGGGGGGTAGGGTGGCGGCCGGGTTTTATATTAATATATTATACTTTTTTTAAATTAACTAACTCTAAATAATTATTCTGAATGTTATTTATTATATTTTGCATGAAAATAAACTAGCATATAAATCATTAAAATAATAGAAGACATTTCTAAAAATAATATTTTTTAATACAAAATCTATTTATTACAATATAAAATATTTTCGATTGTTGATAAAAAATTTGCCCCTAAAGAATTATAAATGATAAAAAAGGTTAATTAATTCATATATATGCCTCAATCTGCGATCATATGCTCTCAGCAGCTGTAGTAATAATCTTAAATTACATAGCCACACAAATAATAGATGCTGGTTAATTTGCAGTCCTAGGCATGACACTCACGATGGTAGCACATATCAGAATTTATTCTGTTAGATAAATTGATAAAACAAAAACACTAAAAACCTTTAGAAGAAATTATGCAAATATATTGAAGCCTTGAGTTATTTACACGGCAAAAATGCCATATTAGAAATGAAATATTTTGTAACTACAAAATAAGAACCAGAGTGATATCATGAAAGCAATTAAGATTTTATATATTATTGTCGCACCATCTCTAGTTGGTATATATTTAAAATAATAGTAGCTTGTAATAATATTAAAAATATATTCGTATTAAAAATTTAACTCAAATCTATATTCCGAAGAAGAAAAAAATAGCTTCCTAAAAACACGTAAAAAGGAGAAGAAAAGATATCTAATTTATTACATCCATTGTAGGATGAATAATAATACGCTTAATTTTAATTATATTGTAAATAAATAGATGGAGTTAAATATTTGTAAGCAAATTATCACTTATATTTATTGTCAAAAGCATTTATTAGTAAAGTTTTAAATTATTAACTGTAATATATTATATAACTGTCAGACACGTCTGTAAAAGTGGCATTTTACTTAATATTTTATATAAAATTATATATAATAGAGGATTATACACTATATGTCTACTTACTTTTTATAAATAAATCTCTTATACTTATTTGGATTTGGACCTTGAAAATAGTTTTAGGAAGAGACATGATAATTAAATTTAAAAATCAATAATATAGTTGATTAGTGATTTTGAACTCGGCTAAAATATTAAATTATTAATTTTCAATTAATAAATGATTATATTTATTTAATTAGGGTTATATAATAATTTAAATAATAAAAGTCAATAAAGCTTCAACTGTTAATGCTAAATTAATATTTAGTGAGTGATATTGTTATATTTTTAACATAGAATTTGATTGCAAGCTGACATAGTATAATTTATATGTAATAATCTAATCTAATAATTAAAATAGTTATCATTTAATAAAAATTAAGATAGACTTATTAATTTTTTAATAAAATTAAGTCTATATATATCTCAATAGAATTATAAAAGAAATTATTCTGAGGGCAATTAAAAACATTTATTTTTAGCTCAAAGGGATATTAAGGAACCATTAAAAAATTGCTTCAGGGGGGCTATTCTAACTTTTCAGAAGGCTCGAGCCCTTGTGCGCCCCCCTCCCCCCCTAGCGACGCCCCTGGAATTAGTTACAAAATACTAGGTAATATTCCACTTTTACAGATATATTTGACAACTAGAGAATATATTAAAGTTGATATTTTAACAAATTTTACTAATCAATGCTCTTAATAATAAATATAGAATAACTTTCATTCAATTATTTAACGCCATCTATTTATTTTAAATAAAAATGATATTAAAAATTAATCTTCATATTATTCATCTCACAATGTCTTTTGAAGATATTTTCTAATGTACTTATCATATTTTATAGTTTTATGTAAAATATATAATTCGCTATATTGGTAAAAATTACTTGATTGTCATATGATAATTGATAAAATTAGATATACAAATCTACGACATATAATATTCCACTGTTTGTATTGTTCTTTAATTTTTTTTATTTAATTTATGATTTAATTTTATCAATAGTTTTATAATTATATTTTACTTTTATTAAGATAAATAAATTAAAATTACTCACTTTATAAAAAATTATATTTGATATATTATTTTTTTTTCTCTTTAGTTTTCACCTTTTCTGGTGGTAAGCTCCTTCAACATCTTTCTCCACTTTATGTTATTAATACAATCTCTTTTATCTAATTTATACTTCTTTATATTGGCTCTAACTTTATGGCCCCATTGAAATTTTGGCCTTCCTCTTTTACGTTTGCCCATCACTTCCAAACTCTTAACTTTATTTCCTATGTAGTTCATAGGCCTTCTCATTGTGTGCCCATACCACCTAAGTCTGTTTACCATTAACTTAGTCTTAATGGGCACTACCTTTAAACTACTTAGTATTCTTGTACTGTGCACATTATCCTTTCTTGTTACCCCAGCAATCATCCTCAGCATTCTCAATGGTTTGTAGACTTCTCTCGTCTGATTCTTTGGTTGGCCATGCTTCCGAACTATATAGAATAGTTGGTTGTATTATGGAACTGTAAATTTTCCCCTTTAATTTGTGTGGGATTCTTTTATCAAATAGCACTCCAGATAAAGATCTCTACTTTAGCCACCCTTGATTAATCTTACTCTTTATCTCTTTTTCTATTGTGCCGTTTGTTTATATAGTGGAGCCCAAATATTTGCAGCTTTCAATTGCCGATATCTGCCATTCATTTATATCAATACTCTCTGTTTCATCTCCTCCTATCACCATATACTTCGTCTTTTCTCTATTTATTTTTAATCCGTGCGTTTCTAGGATATTTATCCAACTCACTAGTCTTTCTTTCATTTCATCCTTAGATTCGGCAAGTATCACAATATCATCTGCAAATATCATATTCCACGGGACTGTTTGAGGTATAGACAGTGCTAATACATCTATTACTGTAATGAAGAGAAGTGGGCTGAGAGCCGACCCTTGATGAACTCCTTCGGCTATTGTGAAGCCTGCTGAAGTACCTGTTGTGCTACGGACCATTGTTGTATGGCCCATATACATATCCTGTATTATTCTTATATATTTTTCGGGAACATTTTTGTGGCATAGCGCCCACCAGATAAGTTTTCTTGGGATTCTATCAAAGGCCTTTTCTAGATCGAGAAAGACCATGTGTAGCTTTTTGTTCTTTTCCCTGTATTTTTCACTCATTTGCCTAATTGCGTGGATAGCATCGGTTGTTGATCTTCCAGGCATAAAGCCAAACTGAGTCTCTCCTATTTCGATTATATCTCTTAATCTCTTTTCTATTATTTTTTCGTATAGTTTTAGACAGTGTGACATTAGTTTTATGCCCCTGTAATTTTGACAATTATGTGGATCCCCTTTATTTTTGAAGATAGGAACTAGATAGCTCTGCCTCCATTTTTAAGGAACCTATTCATCTCCAAGTATTTTATTGTACAGATTTGTGAGGAGATGTATTCCATCATCTCCTAGTGCTTTAAGGCTTTCTATTGGAATATCGTCTGGACCCCTAGCTTTGTTATTTTTCATATGCTTGAGGCATGTGATTATTTCTTGTTGTGTTATAGGTTGTACAAGGTTTTGACAAGGGGAGTGTTCGTCTAGATGCAGTATGTGCTGATTAAAGTTGAGAAGCTCCTGAAAATATCCTCTCCATCTACTCATTATTTCTTTTTCCTTTATTATCA